ACCAAATGCTATGAAAATCTGGTCAAGGAATTCATAGTGAATTTGTCTGATGAATGTGCTGATGGAAGGTCAGCTGACTTTGAATGTGTCTATGTGAGAGGAAGAAGGGTTAATTTCTCTCCATCTGAAATTAACAAATTTCTTGGAAGATCAAATGAGGCTTTCCCTGAACTAGAAGTCACTGACAATGAAGTACGCCAAACCATCACAGCAAGACAAGTCAAGTGCTGGCCCTTAAAAGGCAAGCTGAATGCCAGCAAACTAAGCATAAAATTTGCCATCCTGCACAAGATTGGTGCAGCCAACTGGGTCCCTACCAACCATAAATCAACCATCTCCACAGGATTGGGGAGATTCATTTATGCTGTTGGAACCAAGACTGAATTTAACTATGGCAGGTATATTTTTGATCAAACTTTAAAACATGCTGGTAGCTATGCTGTGAAAGGCCCTATTGCCTTTTCCTCCCTCCTATGTGGAATTATCCTTGCTCAGTACCCTGATATCCTGGTGGAAAGAGATACTGCTTGCAAAATAGCTCCTGCTCTTGGGTTACACTACAAGCTATTTCAGGGATCTCATGTTCCTGACATTGTCATAACATCAACTGATACATCATCTGTAAAAGCTCAGTCCAAGACATCTAATGTTATAGCTGTATTAAAAGATACCTGCAAAGAGCTGGAGACAAGGAAAAAGACTCTAGAAAATATAATTGCCAGATTAGAACAGGAGGAGACTGAAGGAAACAGAAGGGAAGAGGGTGCTACTGAAGATCAGCTCAATGCTGAAGAAAGTAGCTCCTCTGAAGATGACAGTGCTTAAAGTTTGGTGGAGTTGACAAGCCTGATGCTGGTTCCTGTTGATGCAAGTGTTTTCAGATTTTATTTGTTGTTTTTATTACTTATTTTGGATGACTGTATAACATATAAGTACATGTATCTTTGGCCCATTTGTGGCTAAAGAGGGGGAGATATTTTGTGTTAATTACTTGGTAGACATCATATTTTTTTCTGCAGTCATATTCATTCTGCTGCTCTCTATTCTCTGATTGCTTAGGGGTTTCAGCCAAAAATCTGCCAAAGGGGGAGTTTGTAAGTGTTTAGTTATTGGCATGTATTTTTGGTAAAACCAAGTGTGTAAATGTCATGACTGATGTCATAACATTCTGGTTTATTAGGTACTTTATGCAGAAAAAGTATGGCATACAGTAGCTACTGTTTATGAGTGTGTATCTGAGCATTTTGCAATGATCACATTTATTGCCTTCTACCAAAATCAGTAAACAGGAATTCTGATGTCATAACAAATGTTAAGACATCCTGTACTGATCTAACAGATATGCAGTTTGGTTAATTCTGAGATTTTTCAGGAAGTTGGCTCATTCCTTCCAGAACAGAATCTCACGTGGACTTTGGGTTAACCTAGCTCAACCCTAACCTGGTTGATAAAGTCTTGTGACCAAGTCTTAAGGTTAAACCTAATTAACCCTAGCTTTTTATGGAAACCCTAACTGAAGAAACAGCTGCATATATATTCAACAGGAATGCTGGATGCAGAGTAACTCTTTTAACTGAAGATCAATTAGGAGCTGTATAGTTTTAACTACTGTAATCCAAGCAAGTATCATTGTGATAAGTGACTTGGAATAGGTTTTGATTGTAAGGGTTTTTGTATCACTCAAAGCTTTGAAGCAAGAGTGTTTGTGTCTCTTGACTAAAGCTTTGAAGCAAAGTCAAGTTAGGTTTATGTATCACTCAAAGCTGTGAAGCACGAGTGTTTGTGTTACTTGATTAAAAAGCTGTGAAGCATAATCAAGTGTATGTTCTGAAGAGTGTCTTCATTAATTCATTAGTCAATTGTTTTAAGTATCACTGCTGTGATTGAGGGGGAGTGAGTAGGAATTCATGTTTAAGTTGAACTTAGATTGAAGTTGCATTGGGTAGGTCTTAAGTGAAGGAGATAAACTGGTTGGTTTATTCCTGAATTAATATCTCTTATAGTGGATTTCCTCCCTGGCTTGGTAGCCCCCAGAGTAGGTGTTGTTTCACACTGAACTGGGTAAACAATTGACTGTGTTCTTTACTGTTTTTATTTACTGTCTTATAGAAAGTCAGATACGGTGTCATAACATTCACTGTGACATTGAGTATCTGCTGCCAGAATTTCACATTAGAAATTACTGACCTCTTGCCATCTTTCCTCATAATCATAACATCACCAATACCTTCAGCTGCTAGGGTATTGTCGTTTGAAAATTTTACCATATTTTTCATTGAGGGCTTTATATTGAAAAACCAGTCTTTCCTTCTAGACATATGTGATGAACATCCTGAATCCAAGTACCATTGGTCCTTGAATCTATCTTCATCTTTTGTTGTGACCATCAACATCATCTCTTCTTCTTCTTCTTCATGTTTTGCAAGCTTTACATCACTTTATTGATTCTTTCGTTTTTCTGGACAATCACTCGAATAGTGACCATACTTCTGAGAATTGTAACATTGAATGTGACTCTTATCAGGTTTTTGACAACCACCTCTTCCTCTATTTGAGACACCACCTCTTTGTTTTCCTTGGTATGGTCTTCTTTGATTCGACACGTTTCCTTCGATTTGGTTTCTCTACCATTCGATTTGTTGTAGTCACCTCTACCTCTGTCGAAACACTTTCCTTTGCCTTTGGTCTCTTTTGCTGAATGTGCCTGCAAGGCCACATCACTCTTCGATTTGCCTATAGCTCTTTCGTTCATTCTTTGTTCATGAGATTCAAGCGTCCCTTAAAGCTCTTCCTTTGCCAATTTCGACAAGTCTTTCCCCTCTTCTATCGCCACCACTATGTGGTCGAACTTAGGGGCCAAAGATCTTAAAATCTTTGAAACAACAGCTCTTGTTGTTAACGTTTCTCCATATATCTTGATTTGATTTACTAGTTTTGTAACTCTAGTGAAGAAATCAGATATGCTTTCACTGTCTTCCATCTGAAGCAGTTCGTACATCCTTTTGTTAGTTTGTAACCTCACTTCTTTCACCTTCTCAGCGCCTCCAAAAGACTTCTCAAGGATTTCCCAAGCTTCTTTTGCAGATTCTGAATCACTAACCTTTTCAAAATTATCTGGGCTGACACATTGATGAATTATAAATAATGCTTTATAACTCAGCTTCTCAGATTCTGTGTATTTCTTCTTTTCTTCTTCTGAAGCGTTTTCTCCAAGCGCTTCGATTCCATCTTTTACAAGGTCCCAAAGACCTTGACACCTGAATAAAACTTTCATTTGTTTGCACCAATTCTCACAGTTGTCTACTTTTAGAATTGGTAGAGTTGCTGGATAATTTGCATTCCCATAACTTGTCATCGTAAATTCTTCAATCGTTCTTGATTGATACTTCCCTCAAATCGAAACAAAGCTCTTGATACCAGATGTTGGAAATCCACCAAAGTCTATGATGAATTTCTACCACAATGACAATTTAATTATGAGACAAACAAAGAAAAGAAGATAAGACAAATAATTTCTGCAAAGTCTCTCTCTGCTCACAAACTGTGAAAACTTTGTTATTCACTTGCAACTGCAAATTCTGTGAATACAACTTGCTTGACTTGCTTACAAAAATAGGGGTTACTCCCTCTATTTATAACTGAGCTTACACCCTAAGCCCAAAGTCCAAAATATCTTTTTGTTACTAAATCAAATCTAATTTATTCTAGACTTAAATCAAATCTATTTAAATCTAAAACAAATCAAATCTTTTTGACACATAGTTTCGACACACTGAATTACAATTTAACAAAATACATATATGTAATTCCTGAAAGTACAATTCTTGCTAGTAAATTCCAAAAACCATGTTACAAATGGCATAATTACTCTTAAAGGATAAACATAAGAACATGTTGTGGTAATGAGAAATTAGCAAGGTCACAGGGTTCTGGCATGATATCCAATGGTAAACCTACAACAATCTGAGTATAAGTATAAGTTAAGCCTATTATTTAGAAAATAACTAAAGTAGAGTGTTGGAAGCGGCATAGTGGCAAACAACAAAAGTTTTGGAAATATTTATCCGGAAATTTATCGTGTCCACAGAGATTGGTTATTGAATTGCCGTTCCACAAATTATCGCGTTTATGATTTTGGTTTGTAAAGAAAATGTTATCAACAGAAAATAAATGTAAACAAAAGAAAAAACTAAGGAAGAACTTATCAAGCCTGCATATAATCTACTCATCACAGACTTAAATCTATCGACCAATTACATTCAAGCTAACAATACTCATCAATGTCACTACGTATCACTCACAATCTAAGTCATTTCTAACCCAAATTGAGAGACCGACTGTATCACCAAAGAAATGATCTCTCTACCTCCTCAACAACACAGAAGACAACTATGTAATCACACTGAGGATCTCTCAGTATATCACAACCACACAAAGGCATTAAACTCTGATACCTAAGTAGATGTCAGCTCTAAATCTATCTCTAGAGTTCAGAAACTAAGAGATAATCATCCTAGATAAGAATCTAAGCAGTATATGTCTATAACAACTCAAATCTCTAGCACATAGCAAAAATCCAGGACAACAATCGACAAAGATTTGTAAAACAAGTTTAATATAACGCCATGGGAGACAAATAAACATAAGTTCAGAGTAAATATACATATAAAACCTAACAAAAGAGAAATACATAGAGAGGAGAAGAGATAAACCACAAATCTTCCGGGTTATCAGAGTCGGTCGACGAGCAATCCACCACGAATCTTCTGGTTTGCCAAAAGCCATAAATAATTATCGAGAGGGAAACCAAGTGTAATAAAAAAGTCATGAATAAGATGTATGTGGAGTGTCCCTACATTGCTCTATTTCAATTATGAAGACTGTAAGAACATTATAATTCAAACATTGTTTGATGTCAGATGTTAATACATCCACAAACCAGCAATGTAAACCATACACAAATTGTTTGATATATGAATTTTAACGTAAACTCAACTTTTTCAAAGATATGCAGTAGCTATGTAAGGGCCGATCATCTGAGAACTATCCCTTTGATATCCACGTCTGTAAAAGAAAAACATGTTTTAGAATTCAATCTATTTGGCATTACATATTTTGGTGTCAATTTTTGGTTAAATAATAACTTGCTGGAAGGTGTTGTGGGATCCTTCATGCTTCTGTGAAACCTGCTACCTCCATTACACCAGACATGCATCATCCTACTGCACAGTCTGTACCATGATGGCTGCACCAAACTGGCACCATGAATCCTTGATCTGTCCTAAAAAATAGAGAAATTATCAGACATTACATGAAAAACCCATTTCTGACTGCTGTGGCATAACTCCCTTGACTGTTGTAGCATAATGTTGCATTCCCAGTTCAGAAAGAAAATGAGCCATGTTCTCAAAAGCATCTCGATTGGAAGGAGGTAACGATACCGAAGCCGCTTTAATGAAAGCTTAAATTTTGTGTGAACATCTACAAGTCAATCAATGGGTATAAATCTCATTTTATCATCTATCTTAGGTTGTGAGTCCATGTAATCATGTGGGTGGCTCTCATTGTTCATTATCCATACACAATTAAAAAAATACACATCAGGTTCAAAACAAAATCTAGAAGAATGAAAAAGAACTACAAATAATAATGAACAATAAAAAAAATCAAACTAAAAGTGAAATTAGAGAGTCACGGAACATGTCCAGCCACCACCGCAAAATGCTGACATCACCATCGGCCAAAAACATTCAGACCCCAGCCGCAACGCTACTGCGGACCACCGTCCGCGTGACATACCCCCTCCACTGCACGACTTAACCACCATACCGCCGCAACCTCGTGTTCCGGCTGCAATTTCGATAATTTCCACTGTGCGCCCAAACACCCCAGGACCGCCATCAACCTCCTCGCAATCTTCGAGTCAATCCACCACAAGTGTCAGCAATTGGTGTCATTTCCTTTATGATCTCAACCTAGTTTTTGGTATATGGTATATTTGGGCGGCGAATCAGAGGCATGTGGAGAAGATTGAAATTCTTAAGGAGGGAAAATTAAGTTCAATAATATTAGGGGAGATTAAATGAATGAAAATGGATCGTGGAGTAGTGAGAGGGGTGGTTTATGAAGATGGAGGTGGAACGGTTTCCATCAAAAGTGCGTTGAAAGGAAGAGGAATGAGTTTTCTTATAAGATAGATTTTTTTCTCCTCTTAAGTCACATGTTGTGATTTTAGAACAAAAGGATAAAATTGACTTTTTGAGTAGATATGATTTTCTTATATTATAGATTTATATTATTGTCTCAATTACAATTTACAAAAAATTTGTAATATAAACTTAGTAATTATATTTCGTCAAAACCAACTCTTAATATATTTAAAATTCAATAATAATGAACAAATTAATTTACCGCCGCGTATCGTACGGGTCTTAATCTAGTGATAAGTATTTCAAATAAGTTGAATTCGACACTCCTCGAAGAAACAAATGTTGCATGAGATCTTTATCTTTTCAAGCATCTCTTCGACTAGAGGACCATCACTAGTCCTTATCGTTTCTCCATTGAACCTATCGATATAGGATCACAACGGTTTGTGTTTTCCTTGTCGGATGGATCCTAAACTTTCTACTTGAAATTTGCAGAGAAAGATTGTGCAGTTCTTCCAATGAATCAATTGATCCGTTTCTTAACCCTTTAAACCAGGTCATTGCCCCTGCTTTTATGTTGAGGACAAATAGTTTGCATTTCTCAGGGCCTCGTGCCATCTAAACTTTAGCAAGGCGTCATAAGAACCATGTGGGAACAGTTAGGCATGAAAATAAATGGAAAATAATTCATAGAAATGTATCTCGTTAACTATAGCAGACATGAACATGACATGCTAGTTTACAAGTTTCTCAACACAAGTTCTAAATAAGCCACAACATAGTAAAAATTTTCATAACAGCTACAACTCATAATTTCTTTTTTATAGATCAGACTAATTTCTCCGGGTTTTCATGCTCGTTCCCTAGGCTTTCCATTTATGCCACCTTCATTTTCTCCCCCCAAACCTGCCTCGGTTCCTCCAACTTCTCCCCAACCTTCGTCGTTTCCTTCTTCGCCTCCTCCTCCTTCGCAACCTCCTTTGTTTTCTCCTCTTTCCCAGCCTCCTCCGTATCCCCAATCACCGTCAACACGCCTTCCTCCGCGGTTTCCTCCGTGTCCACCTCCTCCCATGCTTTCGTCCATATCTATCACAATTTTTGTTTTGAATTCTTTAGTAGCACCAGCTGAAACTATAACAAAATACATTAAGTCTAATAAAATAAATGAATTTTGAAAACAATTTATGCATGTATGTATATACATTGTTTTCCATCTTTAGATTGCTCAGTTTCCACAGGGTAGATATGAATTAGTGCACAAAGAGAGAACACCAAGAACAAAGACTTAGTTTTCATCCTTTATCAAATAAAAGTTGTCAAATAATAATTCACAGTGGCTATTTATAGTGTGATCTTGGAATAAGATAAATAATATAAGAAGAATAAAAAGAGCTTGCTAGATGATAGTTATTGTGTACAGTAACAATTTGGCTGTTTGTAAGAAAAGTGGGACATTAACACCTATTGAGAGATAACTAGAGACGTGTTTAATCATCTTGGTAAGCAATTTATTTTTAGATTAATAAAGGTATCACAGTTTAGAACAGGCCAATTCCATTTTTGTGAATGTTTAAGATAAGGGTTAAATTTACTATCTCCTATCATTAGGGCCACCTTGTAAAATAAAAATTCTATTTTTAATTGATTGGGCGTGAGAAATCTTCATAGGTCCCTACCGTCTTTTTAAAGGAGAAAAATTAAAATTTGTTCTATTGATATGAGACATCGTATATTATTTAACGCTTAAGATAAATTTTAATTTAAAATAAAATTTGTATACTGTTAATAGATAAATACTCATAAAAAATTTGAAACATGTAGGTTTCATTAAAATAAGAAAGATAAATAATTGAGAAAGAATGGATTATGATTAATAAGTTATTAGGAAGAGAGACACAAAATATAAATTTAATAAGGAGGGAACGAAAGTGTTATAGTCGATCACAAGTGACACAAAATGATTTAAGTTTTAAGCTTAGTCATAACTAGCTCTTTATATTGATTATTGAGGCTTTGATAATATTATATTGACACATTTTGGCTAATTTCAGGAATAATGGGCCATCAACGCCTATTGAGTTATTATATGAGATGATTTATAGTTTTTTTTTTCTATCAAAGCAAATTCAATGTATATCATTAATCAAAAGTTGTTCAATATAAAGAAAAATCAAATAAAATATATTATGTTTAGATCAAAAATTGACCGTCTTCGCTAAAGAGTGAACAATCAAATTTGTTTGGTGCTTAATAAAGTTAACTTTAAAGTTGGGATAAACTTGTAACAAATTGATAATGGACATAATAATAAGGCTAAATTCGGATCAACCATTATGTTTGAATTGGATAGTTTGAACCACTCTTTAGGAGTCACTTTCGAAGATAAGATACTCCAGAAGCATAGCTATAGCTTCTTGAATTGCCTCTTTAAGGGTCATGACTTATGCTTTAATGATAGATAGGGTACTTGAATCTCAAGCTATGCTTGCAATAATGAAATTCACTGAATTATCACTAGGGATGTAAATTTGCATATGTTAACGGGGATTTTAATGAGAATTATCTATGTGGAGCTATGAAGTTGAGATTTCCCCCCCGTGGAGATGAGGATGGAGGGAAAAGTTCTCTCGATGATATTTCGGGGCAGGGATCGGGGAAGTACCCTCCGCTCCACATATTTCCCGACGTTGACCATATTATTTAATTTTATATATACTATATTAAATAATATAAAATCATATAAATTTGCATATTTTTATAAAGAATATAATTAATATATTAGGAAATAAAGAGTTATTAGTGGATCATTTTTTTAATTGTATAATGTATTGTTTCATTACTTAAGTAGACAACCCACATTCCTTCTTAGTACAAGCTAGCTTCTCCCACGATATCCACTGAATTCCACTGTTATTACTACCTCCCCCCACCAAAAAGAATTAAACATCTTCCCAATATTGTTAATTACCGTAACATAGGTAAAATAGAATTTATGCTGATCACTTCGTTTTTTATGTATATTTAAAACAAAATTTAATAATTAATTTAATACAAATTTGTTAAGACAAAAATATCCAACGATATATTGGAAGTTAGATAAGATAATTGTGTCAAATGAGCTTTTTGATTGGCCGGTTATTTTTGGGGTTAGTTGAACATGAAGATGATATAGGGGTAGTACTTGCAAAAAAACACTTCAACGCTAAATTCAATAGTTAACTGAGGAAAGGGAAGAAATATTTATGGTTTTTTGAGTTTGTACCTCATTTGACGTATATCGTTTCCTTTTATAGAAATTCTATCAGGGTTTTTACTAACCTTCACTCTTTATTTTCCACGCATATTATTCAGTCACTAGATGGTGAGATATGACTCATTTTATGATCCAATATCTATTCTTCTCTTTTATTCTTAGATCTAATATTTTCTAGGACAAGTTTACGCCTTATCTTAAGGCCCTAAAATATTCTATTTGATGCCATATCCATAATGTCCTTACCATTACTTCAATTTATCACTAATTTCTTTCCCTTTAGATATACACGATTTTTCTCATGTGGGGCCGAGATTGGTCTCGGCTAACCATGATCAAGATCCGCTGGCAAGAAGGTTATTGGGTCGATCTCTCATCTGCCTCAGTCTAGGTAGAAACAATTTTCCCTCAAGCTCGGCTTGATGGAATTAGACACGGGATTGTTAGTATTCTTGTCATTTTATGTTTGTGACGTGATTTTAATGGAGTTCAATTCACCTCTTTTATGTTTTTCTCTTATGACTTTCAAGTATCACTAGACCATGTCGTTGGTGACGGGTGTGAGTCATCGATTTTTATATTCTCAATAGCCTGTCATATGTCATCCTAGGGATTGTAGCATGATGAGCTACCATTAGGCCCCTTATGATGGATTTCTTTGGAAATATCTTTGCCATAATGATACTAACACTACTCTTGGCCATATATGTTTTATCTATCGATTGATGCTCATTTTCTCACTACAATTTTACTTTCAGAGTTGAGGCCTTCAACCTTTCACACTTCCTTTCCTTCTAGTATAAATACTTTATAAAGTTAAACACTACCACAAATAATATATTGTATGAAAAACTTTCATCTAATTTAACGACCACCCTAGGTATAAACTACAGACACACCACATTTCAATTTTTTAAAAAATACTACATGTCCCTTTGATTATGTTGGAAACCAGGAGAAAATGTTATGACCAATCCCCCTTCAAACCAACAACTGCATTTAAGCGGTTTTTTTTTATTTAATTTTTATATATTTATGATCTAGTTCCTCGATTCATCAGGTAACCGAGAGGAAAGATTTTTATAACCCCATTGAAATCCCAAAATGTCATTTTTTCTCTTTTTATTTTTTATATTTTTTATTTATGACATATTCCCTCGGTTCATTTGGCAATTGTTTCTCTACGAAACAATCGCTAGCTTCTTATTAAAGGTTACTTGCGGGATCGACTATAATAATCCCAAACTTAGTGTTTAAAGTGTTTTTGGATTAAAAAAATAGATAAAAGGGCAAAGGATAAAGGCATTTACAATGTAAATAAATCAAAAACTGTAAATTGCTAATAATTTAAATGTGGAAGCATTCATACATTGTTAAGCTTGAACTCGTTTCTATCTTAGATGCAGGTACTTTGAGTGTATTGCTATTAAATGTGAAGAAATGAGACCTTTAACACAAATATAGAAATTTTCTTAAATAGACATCCTAAACACATAACCGTCGACGGTTACTAGCCCATGTTTGGGCTTCATGGGGACCATTTGAGTATTCCCACGTTCTTGCTGGCTCTGCAGGTTGATAAATGTTCCCGCTAGTATGCATTCTTTCTTTAGCTTCTTCGAACTTTGTTTCTGTCGACAGCTGTCCATGTTCTACCTGCCTTCGTCGACTAGCTCATTTGGTCGACGTCCTCTCCCTTCTCGACGCACTTTTTTTGTTTTCCACTACTCTATGCCTCTTTAGCCAAATAAATCTCCATAGCTTTAGGTTTATTCCCTTAGTCAAAAGTTGCTTGTTAACAAATTGCCCCCCAAAATTCCATGTTCGACAAATTATTGTCGGTGGGAGAATTTATTTTGTTTTTCCCTTTCATATTTTCGATTGTACGTATCTCTGTAGGGATGACGTCATGCGTGATCATGACTACTTTCTGCGCAACAGTTTCCCATGTCACTTCAATCATTTCTCATGATTACTCCTAGTATTTATGGCGTGAGTTTCTAAAAAACCCCACTAACTTTTCCACTTCTTTGGGCCTACTCACGCTATTCAAGCGAAATTTTTTCTGCTCCTAATGGTTCTGATTCCTCTTTAAATAGTCTTTCAAGAACCCCTCGTTTCTTTCTCCCACTTCAATTTTCCATCTTCTAATTCTTGAAAATCCTAGAGAAACTTCTTTTGTTTTCGCAATGGCCAACCCAACTGATATCCCTTTCACCGATGATAACCCCATAGCTTACGCTATCTCTGCAAAACAAAGCTTGAACTTCATTCTAGATCCTCCCACTAAGGTGAAATCTAAAGTCCAGACATGGAAACACAAAATGTTGATCCCTTTTGTTGTTTCAGGGAAACTTTTCGCATTCCACGGTCCTTACACAGGCCAAAAAACGAATCCTAGAGTAGTCAGCCAATACTTTCCCTGTTTTCTTCCTGCCATCCCTTCTGCTTTTAATCACACAAAACCTATTGATGTCAGGTTTTTGGTTTCTGATACCATATTATTTCCTTCTGCACCCACTCCGGGTAATACCACGTATCTTGCTTGGCTTGACAAATTTCAAGGACAACGACAACCTCAATAGGAAAAACTCGGTATTTTTGACGTGATTCAACTCTCACGGAATGCCCATACTCTCGATCCTAACTTTATTCTCACCTCACTTTTCTTTTGGGATGAATGGAACAACACTTTCCAACTTCCTTGTGGGATGTTGACTCCCACCTTGTTCGACGTGGCGACCATTACTGGGGTTTCCCCATTGGGTATGACTTTCAACCCAACAGTTTCGATGAAGCACACGTTTAGCTTCGACCAAACGGATTTCGCCAACTACATTACTGATCATCATCTTATGGATTTGAGAAATATCTCTGATATTGAACACATATCTTTTCTCACTCTTTGGCTCTCACATTTCTTGTTTTGCACAAGGTCCTTTACAACAACCCATGATTTCATACCTCTAGCGATTCAATACCATGAGGGGCAAAACATCTCACTGGATAAGCTATTGCTGGAGAATATCTACTGAGCTTTGGG